CCCCAAAACCCCAAAACCCCAAAACCCCAAAACCCCAAAACCCCATTTTTTGGAAATCTAATAGAATTAAAAATATTTCCAATGAATGGATTGAAGCTTCCGCCTATTGATAGAAGGCATATGGATCATTCTGTGGGAGTTGGGGATGTGGAAGAGGTTTTTGAAGAATCTGTAAGGAGTTTTATGGATGGTAATAGGAGAGATTTAATAGTTTTTATTATTTTGAGGAAAATAGATTTTAGAGTAAATTGAGAGAGTCGGAAAGAGATTAATCGGTGTTGGAATTGGATTTTGAGGTATAGGGTATTTTGTAGACATAGAAAATTGTTTTTTGAGCTAGATTTTAAGGTATTTGAATCTAGAAAATTCAGGATAATTCACAGATGAAAATGGTAAATGAAGCACCTAAAGAGAATTCGGTGGAGAACGAATATTATATCGATGACCAAGATGCCAAAGTTTCACCAACCAAAAGAAACACAGATCTTGGGCCTTTTATTGATCAAAAACCTAATCTGCATATTTCTATAAAATCAAAAGGTAAGATTTCTGTCTATTTTTAGTGAAATCTCAAATCCGTACGTCTAATCGTCATCATAACTAGCGAACAAATTATATAAAAAGAATATAACAAAAAGTAAAACAGATTCGATTAATGAACAAATGGGACCAATTGATAACCTATTATGGGCTCTCAGGAAGAAGCAATTAGACGAGATGGTGGCCAGTTTTAAAATTAAGAATATCACAACAAGCGAGGATGATAGCAAAGACCAAAGTAATGAACACCGAAGTCGGAGATGTCTCTATCGGAGTGGAGATGGGTTCAGAGTGAAGTGGGATCTGCTAATCATGTCTCTCGCCGCATATAGTTGCTTCATTGTGCCTATACAGTTTTCATTTGACCCTCAATTTGCGAAGGAACTCTACTTCCTTATCCCTGATTTTTTCGTGAATATAATCTTCTTTGTTGATATTCTGATTAATTTTCGAACTACGTATATTCATAAAAAGACTGGGGAGGAGGTCACCAATCTTTCAATAATTGCTATAAATTATTTAAAATTACAGTTCTGGATAGACTTCCTTGCAACTATTCCTTTCGATCTGGGAGCAGAGCTCTTTATAAGCAATAGCAACAGTGGGTTCTTCCAGTTGTTCAGTCTACTCAAGTTGGTTAGAGTTCTGAGGTTAGGAAAATTAATAGCAGTCATGAAAGTCAAAGATGACATCAAGTTGTCACTAAAACTAATGAGACTTGTTTTCTTTCTAGTCACTTATTTGCACTGACTTGGCTGTTGTTGGTACTATATTGTTATTGACAATGAAGAATGGATGCCTCCTTTGGACTATGTGTGGGTTAAAACTGAGTTTTATCAAAAATAACATTCCTTTTAAGTACTCTATGTCCCTCTACCATGCAGTCCTATTGTTTACAGGCAATGATATCGGCCCAAGAGGAACTTTTCAGCTCCTTTTTGTATCATTTTTTGTTGTTATGGGAGCAATTATCAACGCAAATCTTTTTGGTCAGTTAGCAGTCATTCTTTCTGCAATGAATAGAAAAGCTTCGTTATTTCAAGAGAAATTCGATATTATAACCACAGCTATGAAAAATCTCAACTTGCCAGAGGAATTACAAACTAAGGTCACTGGATTTTTGACTTACACAGAAAGATTTCTTGATTCACAGACAGAACTAAAGTCATTTCTGGATATGATTTCTCCATCTCTGAGACAAGAAGTAATTATATCTATTTTCTCTGAAACCCTTCGATATAATCCGATCTTTCAAGAAAATGATACTCTGATTGATTATTTGACCAAAAAGTTGAAGACTCAAATTCATATGCCTGAAGATCCGATTATTACCCAAGGAGAGGTCGCAGAGAACATTTTTTTCATTGGACGTGGGGAATGAGAAGTATCTGTGACCAACCATAACTCCATCACTGATGTTGTCAAAAAGGTCAAGCCTGGAGATGTATTCGGGGAAGTAGCTCTTCTCTGAGGCTGCCGTAGAACTGCTAGTGTAAAGACCACTAACTACTCAACTCTGGCAAAGATTGACAAGCCTACCTTCAAAGACATGTGCGTGCAATTTCCAGACTTGAAGGATAAAATGAAAGAGAATTTGAAGAAGTACCAGGATAAGCTAAAATTATTCCTGAAAGTTATCTTGAGGGCAATTCCTTTCTTCCAAGATTTGAGCGAGGAATCTATCGAAGAAATAACATATCATCTGAAGCAAAAATCCTTTGATTCTAATGAAGTCATCGAGCGTGCTGGTAAGCATACAGTTAGTTGTTTTATTAAGACTGAGAATAGGAAAACAAGCAAAAGAGTTTTTGTTATTTCTGTTTATGTCAAAATTTCATTATATGTGAACATGATCATTACTTTAACTCCTCATACGTTGAAATTTAGGTGAAACAGTTGATAGAATATGACTTGTAACAAGAGGAGAAGTTGACTTGATTCTCAATATTGAAAATCATGACTTTGTGATCCATAATCTCTACCAAGGCTGCTTTATTGGTGGATACAAGGTGCTTCAAGATTCTGTGCATGCGCACACAGCGAGATCTGTAACTAGTGTATCAGTTCATACACTGAATAGGGATAGTATATCAATACTCCAGAGATGCCTACCTGATTTCCAAACTGCTATTGATAAAGCAAAGAAATATTTGAAGTCAGACAATCCAATCATAGGCTATGGGCTATTTCGAGATACTAACGGAAGTATCTCACCAGTCAGAATGCTTCAAATGGCTGTAATAAAGATCATGAAAATAAACCGTGAACTCAAGAACATTGGCAGCAAAGAGACAGCAGCCAATGCTCTAGAGCGAATGCTCATAGATTACGAAGAGCAAGGAAATGAAGGAAAATGGCAGAAGAACTACCACAGAGTGTCTATAAAGCTCATGGATAAATTATACAAGAAGATAGATAATCTACAAAATCATATAGAAGTGCTCGAAACCCAGATTGAAAAAGACACAAAGGAGAAGAAGAGGCAGTCTGTTCTCTTAATGAAACGGATGAGTCAGCAAGAAGACAGTTTACGGCGTAAGTTTGTTCCTAAGTTTTAGAGTTCAATAACCACAACAATATTGAGCCAAGGTATCAATATGCTAACATTGTAGGAAAAATTCTGTGTTCAACATCCAGCCACTTCCAATGGGTTTTTTGAATATGGAAGATTCTAAGATCGATGAAGCTTCTGAGGATAATACTTCAAGTAATACAAAGTTTATAAATATAGGTTTATCATCAGTGAGAACTAACTCAAGGAGAGAATCAACATCAAAAGATCTGCAGATGAGTGAGGCACATTCTATTGGAATTCTTTTCCATGAAAAGAAAAACAACCAAATCCCTGACAAAGCCTTCCAAGATCCAATGATTTCTCCTGAGAAAAAGCATAAGGACAAATAACTCCTCCAATCCTGCCTATTTCTTCACTAAAAATCCACCTCAATTCCCATTCAAAAACAAGGGGTTTTGGGGTTTTGGGGTTTTGGGGTTTTGGGG